TAAGAATTCTTTTTTTTAATTTGTACAAAATTTCTTATTGTATTATACAGATATTTTTATAACACCAGATATACCACCATTTTCAATATACCTATTTTTACCGTACTAGTCAAAGTGACTGGTGTATAAAAAAAAGAAAAATGCTTTTTAAGACTTCCAGTCTTTATTTCATTTTTCAAAAATAACAAAACGCTTAATTATTTACAGAACTCAAATGTTACATGAAGTAGACATTTTGAGTTAAAATAGCCCAACCAGTCAAAATGATTGGTCTGGTATATCTAATGATAATATAAAATTAATGTAATCCGTTTGTGAATGTGTTATTCACATTATAGACAGTACTTAACCGATTACAAAAATACTGTATATATGTATTTACATAATTACCACTAACATGCCAGATCATTGACGTGTCCATTCTCTTTCTTTAATCTTCATCAATCTTACATTCTCTTGCATTAAGATAAAAGATAATAATCAAAGTAAGAATTTTAAATAAAAATAAGATAAAAATGTTGTTTTTAAAAAAGAACAAAAAAAACCGTTGATTTTTGTTCAATTACGTTTTCCCTTTTCTCTCTGTCTCTCTCTCTGTCTCTCATTATTTGTCTCTATCTTATTATTTAAATCATTTTCATTCTTATGCAGTTTTGAAATCGAATTTATACAAAGTGATGATGAACGAACATTAACCGCAAACTAAACGAGTACTCGTGGTATCCCGTTACTTTTACACTCACTGAAATATAATTGTTTCTATCCTTGTGGTTTATATGCTCTGACGTGATCCTTTCTTTTGTATTTTATTAATAGCAATCGATATTTATTATTAATAGCGATCGAACGTGCTCGATCAAGCACCATATGTGTGTGTGTGTGTTGTGTTGTGTTGTGTATCATCTTATGTCTTCTTAATTAGCCGATTTTTCGACGAACCGTCAACGTTGTAAAAATATAATCAAGTCATTTTATCCGTGCGTAATATTTAAAGCGGATAATACGTGTAATTTATTTTACATAAGGCCCATCTTTAATATAACATATTAATAAAAATTATTAAAATGATATGTTGATAAATAATATTATGAAAATATAAGATATAGATATTTAAACTCTTTGCAATTTTATGTTATATTTATATTAGTATACAATTATTCACATGTTAATTATATATATATATATATATTATAAATATATCTTCTATATGAGTACCATTTCATTAATTTGTATGATGAATAAGTATGCTTTTATATTATACTGTAGTTTAATATAATCATACTTACTGCATAATTATATTACACTATAAGGTATATTAGTATAATATAAAAGTATTAGTATATAATATATTAATATAAAATTATAATAATACTTATTATAATTATTAATTATATAATTAAGCATAATTATAATATTAATAAAAGTTATAATAATACTTATATTATTACTGTAGTATAATATAATTTTATATATTAGTATTAATATATTAGTATACTTTTACTTATATTAGTAATACTAATATAATATTATATTATATTAATATTAATATAAGTGTATACTTTTATATTATATTATAATATATATATTAATATAAAGTAATATTATATTAGTATACTTTTACTTATTTTAGTAATACTAATATATAATATTATATTATATTAATATTAATATAAGTGTATACTTTTATATTATATTATAATATAATGTCTACTTGTAATAGAATGAAATAATATATATATATTATATTATATATACTAATATAAAATATATATTATATTATAATGTAAGTAAATATTATATTAGTATTAATATATTAGTATACTATTACTTATCTTAGTAATACTAATATAATAGTAATACTAGTAAACCTACTACTTAGTAATACTAATACTAATGTAATATTATATTATATTATATTAGTATTATTTTTACTATACTATAATTACTAGTATTACATTAGTTAATTTTAAAACTTCAACGTGTTACATAATTTTCTTATAAATTGACAACAAAATTAGTTTGTAAACAAAAAAAAAGAAGGAAATAATTAACGAACGAAGCAATACTTTATCTCATTTTCCAACGTGAGAATAATTATTAAATCGTCTAAAGTACAACGGTAATCGCATATTTCCTAGACCTCTGTTACTATTTTAAATTATACTTCGATCAATGGTAATCCATTATTTTCCAACTCTAACGTACAATACAATATTATTTTCTTATCAACTTTCCTGTCATGTAATTGTTGAAATTATATTTTCTCATAATTCGTGTTATCATTTATGTCGAATGAATAAAGGGGGGGGGGAAATATTACAAGAAATTAAATCATTCTTATTAATTGTCCAATTATTCGTATACATTGTTTTTTTTTCTTTTTTTTTTTTTTTTTAACTGTTCATTTCGTAAAACAATTTGTTTATAAGTATTACAGTATTTTATATCGCATTATCGGTAGGAACTATGAAAAAAAAATTTATCTTTTACGTTGGTGGATGAACGATAATATGTGAGGTCGACGTTTAAGCAATCATTTCAGAACATACGGAACGTTAACTTCGTGTAGTGCGTGTGTCTTATTAAGAAACATTTTAAGTATGATCTAATTTGTTAAATACGACATTTTGCAAAAATCTTACGATACATTCTTTTTCGTTCAATCCTTTTCATTGTGTAATATATATATATATATATATATATATATATATATATATGTTTATCAAGAACTATAAATGGAACTATTGCTATAAATAATAACTAGAATGATTGTGTTTCATAAACAATCGAAATGTGCTGTTATAAAGTTCGAATATTTTTTGAGAATCATGTATTGTACGTGTTAATTTTCTGTAACGCTATGTTACTTTCAAATAACACCTGTATTTAATTAATTTCAATTTATTTGATCGCATACGAACATTTATTCTTATTTTTCATATCGTACAAGATGTATAAATTATACTTATATACAAGTATATATTGAGATAAATATATTTTAATTTTGAAGTGGGTTATATCGTATAAAGTGATGTATTCATCAATATACTGGATGATCCAATAGTTCTTATCACTTCAAAAATATCTGTTATTTTGGATTTTATAAAAAAAAGGTTTAGAACAAAGTTACATTATTTCAAGTAGCTCAATATTTTTTTAGAACAAATCATTGTACAAGTTGTATTATCAAACGGTGTGAGTTTTTGTAGGATTGCATAGGTGACGCGTTGCATATTCTATATTAGTATATATATATATATATATAGTATCATTACTAATACTATAATATATTATAGTATTAGTAGTAATATTATATTAAATTTTATATATATAATTTATTTATATAATTATTTATATTATATAAAATATTATAAAAATAATATTATATTAAATTATATTATATATATTTAATATTATATATATATATATTTATTATAAAAAAGTATAAAGTAGTTTTTATATACGAATTCAAAATTAAGTTGTAGAAGATTTGTAGGACTGAATAGGTGACGCGTTGCATATTCTATATTAGTATATATATATATATATATATATATATAATTTAATAATATTGTATATAATTTATTTATATAATTATTTATATTATATATAAAATATTATATAAATAATATATTAAATTATATCTATCTATATTTAATATTATATATATTTAATATAAAAATATAAAATAGTTTTTATATATACGAATTAAAAATTGAGTTGCAGAAGATTAAAAAAGTAAAGATTTTTGTATCTTTATAATCACAAAAAAAAATTGTTTCCTTTAAAATTTTACATGCATTCCAAAAATTATATATATATAGCATATATAGACACTTCTTGAGTAATGAAAAAGAGTATTGTCAACCTAAGCAATAATAGCAAGTATAATACAGGGTTGTTCACCAACAATCAGCACTTTAATATTTCCATTCTTTCTTATAATATAATATAAGTTTGATATTACAAAATAGAATAATAAATATATAGTTTTCGAATTTCTATTATATCGAGGCTTCAATTTACAGTAAACGTTTGAAATTATGGTTGTTTGCATTGATGCAATGCTACCTTAGATTAACCTTGAATCATACGTCGTTGTACTCCGTTCATGACCCACTATCATATTATAGAAAAAGAAATTATATGAATCTATTTACAAAAAATCATGGTGATCATAAGAATTTCTGTACGCTTTTACCCAGGTAAAAAATATTTGAACTTACTTTATGTACCTCTCTTTATGTACTGTATAAATTTTGTATATAACACATTTTTTTTTTTATATTATAACAAATAACGAAAATAATTAGGTGCTAACAGTTGGTGTATCACCCTGTATAAAACAAGTTTGTTGTGTTATTTTTATGAAGTTTCTCGCGTGAAAGAGAAAGAATGTTCTGAGTGTCGTGCCTCCGAAAGTAACCAATCGTGCTTGTCCTTTCACTATCGGAATTCAAAGCTCGTTTATAGCGAGGGTATAAGCGCGATCACCCGTATGTCCTGTTGTTGTGTCTTGCATTTCTTCAATTCTTTTCAATACATTAATCGGAAGTGGACACATTGCCAATATCGCGTTTTACTTCGAAAGTGCGTTTCTTAAGAAAGTAAAGCAGAAATTTTGAAAGATATTGTGGTTTTAAAAATAGGAAAGATAATATGCTCAGAGGTTTTCGAACTTGTTAAATAAATTACATTTTTGAAAAGAATATAAAGAAAAGGAGTGAAGAAAGAACAACAAAAATAATAATAATACAATGTTAACGTGTTACGTGACGGCTGTGCAGTGCGCCGAATGGTTTGAGATTCGTAAGAGACAACACGCGAACTTGTCGTATCCCGAAATCCAATTAAAAGACTTGCCCAAGGCCCCCTGGTAAGAAGAAGAAAAAGAAGGCCGTAGGAAAAGTTCTCTAGCAAGGCTGCTAACGAACTAACTATAACTCTCTCTTTTTCACTTTCTTCCTTTCTCATGTTTTCTTCTATCTTTTTTTCTTTAGCAATAAGGTGAACGTTGAGGGTGCCACTCACAAGCAGGTCGTTGACTTGATAAAATCTGGCGGTGACGTACTGACGTTGACGGTGATATCCGTGACACCACAAGAGGCTGAAAGGCTGGAACCTTGCGAGGATCTCAGGTAAAAAGTGAACCTTGTCGTAGTCGTTTATCCTTGAACAAAAGTTATTTCTACATGCAGAACGTATTTTTCTGCTTTTTTTTTTTTTTTTAACTTATCTTTATTTTATATTTCCAGTTATCCACCGATAGATTACAGTGAGAAACGATCATTGCCTATTAGTGTTCCGGATTATCATGTACGTGAAAGGAAACACGAACGATACGTTGTTTTCAACGTACACATGGCAGGAAGGCATCTGTGTTCTAGACGTTATCGCGAATTCGCTGCCCTTCACATGGCACTTAAGAAAGAATTTATTGGATTTAATTTTCCAAAGTTACCGGGAAAATGGCCTTTCCAGTATGTTTATTCGTTTCATAATATATTATTTCTATCAATTTTATATTTTTGTTTATATGTATTAATATTATTACGTATATATATATATAACAGATTGACGGAACAACAATTGGATGCCAGAAGACGAGGTTTGGAACAATACCTTGAAAAAGTTTGTGCCGTACGGGTAATTGCCGAGAGCGATGCCATGCAAGAATTTTTAACTGATAGGCTGGACGAGGACGGTGACCAAGGTCCAGCGGTTGACCTAAAGGTTCTTTTACCTGATCGAGAGGTAGTTACCGTGACGGTCGCGAAAGCAGCTTCGGTCAAGGACGTCTACGATGCAGTTTGTAGTAGAGTCGGTCTTGATTCGGATACCGCCAAGTATTTTTATCTCTTTGAGATAGTTGAATATAATTTCGAGAGGAAACTTCAACCTCACGAGCATCCGCACACACTTTACATTCAGAATTACTCTACGGCGAGTGCGACGTGCCTAGCGATAAGAAGGTGGTTGTTCAATGTAAATAGGTCTCTTAGCGAGCAGGCCCTGACGTGGATCTTTTGGCAAACTGTTGACGAGGTCAATAGGGGCCACATTAGCGCTGGCGAACGATTGTATCAGTTGAAGGCCCTTCAAGATGCATCTAGAAAGCACGAGGTAATAAACGGGTTTATCGATTAATAATTAATAATGACGATGGATAGCGGGTTACAGGTTTTTATGCGAATATTATTTCTGACCTATATTTAATATATATTTAATATTTTGTTTGAACACACGTTAAATGTGTCATATTTTAGTTAGTGTGATGGCTGGATGATATACTCTTTTGTTTAGATCGCGTCCGTCATTGGTTTGGTTGATAATACAAAAGTTATATAACAAATTATTTTCTTACATTAAAAATATCGCGATACGAATAAAGTTGATTCGATGTACTTAACGTTTTAATATTATATATTTTATATAACATATAATATATTATATAATTTTGTATTAATTTTATTTTTTATTTTTGTAGTATTTGAAATTGGCAAGGGAATTGAATGGATATGGCGATATAGTTTTTCCACATTGTGCTTGCGACTCGAGGAAAGAAGGACACGTTATCGCAGCTGTTGGCGTTGTAGCATTTAAGTTACATGCAGCAAAAGAGGATGGTACTTTAGAATCTCAAGTAGTCGAATTTCAATGGAATACCATAACTAAATGGGAGGTAGACGAGGAAGGCATGGCCTTTTGCTTTCAATATACCCGACAAGATAATAGGCCACCACGTTGGTTGAAAGTTTTCACACCTTACGTAAGTTGTTGTTGTTTTTTTTTCTTTTTTAGTTTTAACTGAACTATTCACGGAAGTATGATTCGACAGAAAGTTTTCAACGTTTATTCTCTTTATCGTGATTTAATTATTCTGATATTTCCTCTTTTACAGTACACCTTCCTGTCTGACTGTTTCGATCGAATAGCAGAAGAGGCAAAGTGGGACGATCCCAGAGAATGACGCAGTATTCGCCGTTAATACGTTTTTTTTTCTTTTTTATTATTATTATTCTTTTCTTCTTGAATTTTTTTTTCTTTTTTCTTCATTTTTCTTTTATCCCCTAATATTCTCGTTGATGATTATCAATAACGACGATCGACGAACTGGCACATTGGTCATCGTAGTTGAACGATTCATAAGATTATTGTTATAAAATTTCAATCAGTGCGATTGAAAAATTCGTATCGTTTATCATATCAACAATGACACGTTGATTTTACAAAAAAAAAAGAAATATATATATATATATATATTTAATCTTTATTAACACACGAATCTTATAAAAACACACGGCAGTTATTACATATATTTTCATATTACGATAATTAGTGTGGTTACGCGTTCCAACAGGTTACGACATCTTTTTCTGTTGATTTGATTTCTTGTTATATTGTATAATGATACGAATTGATAGAGAATCGTATTATTTCAGAGAATTAAGGTTTCTTTTTCTCCCTCTTATGTTTCTTGTGTTATTTTTCTTTTTTTATTTTTACTTTTCTTTTTATATTATTATATAAGATTTATTATCTTATCATACCGTATAAATCAATACTGTCGCATCGATAATGAAATACTAGAGAATTATAAAGAAAAAAAGACGACGACGTTTCGAAAATTATGAGAGATCGTAAATAACGCCTAGTGTCGATATATATATATATATATATGATTTGGCCTATAAGTTATATTTCCTAGAACGTGTAATTCGATTTCTCGTTTTAGAAATAATCGAATTACTAATTGTTCCTTCTTATTAGCCTAATATACATCAATATACATATACATATACATATACATATACATATACATATACATATACATATACATATACATATACATATACATATACATATACATACATACATACTATTTCTCACTTGAAATTTCTTTTATGAAAGCGTACCACATTTTTTAATGACTTATTGTTATTAAACAAAAGTATTATCGTGCTTCGTTCGAAAGCCCCAGATCACCTTCCTTCTAATAATCTCGAAAAGTTTCAATGTGCTTTTATTCATATCGTTTTCATCTATTGAAAGCTTATTGAAATTTTGTAAGATATTAATATTTCATACAAAGTTTCATCAAAGATCGTAAATGTCGAAGAGCTTTTTAATCATTATAATCGACATTTTTGAAATTTGAATTATGTAGAAATTCCATTACACTTTATTCGCGATCATCTTGTATACATTGACAAATAAAATGAAATCTGTAATTTGATATAATGAAATGAAATATTTTCATCGCATGCATATATGTATGTATGTTTCAAACGAAAACATACATCAAAATTAATATGTATGTTTTTTAAACAAAACATATATATATATATATATATAAAATTCACAATATCAACAATTTTAAATCATTGTTGTGTAATCTATATAGATGCCTACTTATTTTAAAGAATTAATTATTCATATAATATCTTTCTAAGCATTTAACGTAAAGATCTGAATTATTGTAAATGTTACGTTGATTAATTAATTGAAAAAGAAAAAGAAAAAGAGAGAGAGAGAGAGTAATGGAGCACGCCTGACGCAAAAAAAGGTACATATTTTCCCCAGTACTTCGGTGATTAATAATACTCATTAATTAGTAATATTGTTAAGAAGAGTTACTAAATAATAAGAATATTAATAATATTAATAATAATTATAATAATAATAATAATAATAATAATAGTAATAAGGATAATATTAAATATTAATAATGATGATGACGATAATAATAAGAGAAGTAAAAATTAAACATATATATATATATATATATGAGGAATATTATTCTCGACGAAAAGACAACTTTTAGAAGTACTTTCGTCATGTTTGTCATGGCATACAAACGATGAACTATTTGAAACAAATTTATTCTTTTTTTTTTTTTTTTCCTTTAATAATTTCAATTACTTTTTTTTTTTTTTTTTTTTTTTTTTTTTAAATTAATTTTCATTGATAACTAGTTCGTGTGTGTGTTGTACAGTTTCATACATTGTTGTTTCTCATTAATGTTTTATTATATCGTTTCAAATATTTCTCGTTCAAAGTATAAGAGTCTTGACTATAATAAATGTAAAATAAAAAAAAAAAACAACAACAAGTGAACACACGTTATATATAAATATATATATACATAAACACATTATATACATGAATGCATACGTAATAAAGAAAACACTTACATACACATATTATACACATAAATAATAGTCGTTAATGTTTCTAAACTTTATGCAGAATGCAACGCGTGAATGAGATAGATGAACAAAGTAATTTGGGAAATCGAACGATGTGAAATTTGATTAGAGTTATACGTAAACGTTTTTTGAGAGTATAGGAACAATAATGTTAATAGTTTGTAGCTAGATAAATATATCAATGTAAATGAAAAGAAAACAAAAACAAAAAAAAAAAAAGCAAAAGAACAAAAAAATAAGGAGATCGCAGAAATATACGAATAATTATAGATATAGTTATATCGGTTAATGCATTATGTGATGATGATGATGATGATGATAATAATAATGATGGTAATGATATATATACAGTATATCCGGTTTTTGTAAGTATATATACACGGGATTATTTGATACGAACCTTTTTTTTATATATAACTATGTCATATATACAGGGTGTTATAATAGTCGTTTTACTGAACAGAAAAATGATAGAATATTTTGTTTTTATTAGGTATTAACACTTAGCCGATCGATCGGGGAGATTTCTCCGTTTCAATGTTGGCAAATATATGAAAAGGATCGATCGTGCAGACCAATATATGTCTCTTATTATAATATTCTTCGAAAAACCACGAAATGGACAAAAAAAGCAGTGATTTACAATTTTAAATGCTGCTCTTACAGTTCGCTACGTTGCGCTTGGTCGGATAAATGTTAAGCGTGATAGCAATATGAACATATATATACCTTTCAAACAATACTACAATTCGAGTTTCATGTTTTTTTAATAAAAATAAAATATTACAATTCTATTAATAAATCAATCAAATATTGGTTTCTTGTTTTCTTTGTATTTTTTTTTTCGGTAAAACGACTGTTGTGACATTTCAAAAATATATCACATAATATGTTAAAGGAACATATACACGTACACATACACACAAAGGATATATACAGACTATATACATATATCTATATATATATATGTACGTACTTAAAAACCGAATATACTCTATAAATATACACATACACGCGTGTGCACGGGCATATATGTATGTATCTGTTTATTGGAAAAACGGGATAATAGAAACAAAGAATAATTTTCAAAAATTCTATTGTAAAACTTATATAAAAAAATAATACGCTAAATTTATGTAAAAAAAAAAAAAAAAAACAAAGAAGAAAGAAAGAGAAAAAGAAAGAGAAGAAAAAAATCGGTAATACGATTGATCGATCGTTTTACGTATATTGTTAAAAAAAAAAAAAAAGAGAAAGAAGGAAGGAAAAAGAGACAAAAAAAAAATACGAAAAGTCCTTCCGTATATTTATTACATTCCATTTTCGTAATCGATGATTTTATTATTATTATTATTATTATTATTTTTTTTTTATTTCCCTTAATATCACTCATTCAATTTGTTACACAATTACAATTGTGTCGCTGGAGCGAATTGTTTTCATTAACAAATGCGTCATTAAATATTATTTATGATCGTAATAAAGATGTTGTTTTCATAAATAGCAATATTAAAGAAAAAAAAAAGAGATTAAAAATAATAGATTTATTGTTTGATTGATCTATATCAGTGGTTCCCAAAGTGGGCGATGGATGGATGGTCACAGGCGCATTTGAGGGGCGGGAGGGAGGTCGATGAATTTTCTTTTTTGAGTTATTAAAAAAAAAAAAAAGAAAAAGGAAAACCAGAAAATTATTTTTCAGGGGGCGATAGGACAACAAAATTTGGAAACCACTGATCTATATATATATATATATATATATATAAGCCGTTCATTAGCCAATTTGATAAATCCCATAAAATAAAAAGTCAAAAAGAAAAAAGATTGACATACGAAATGTAATTATTTAACGGTGTCAAATTCATTATTAATTCTTTTTAATTATGGTGAAATTGATCACGGCATTTTTTGTTGCCATCGTGTAAAAAAAAAAAAAAAAA